TCAGCACTCAAGTTCCCTCAGTTGGGTTGAAGAAGCAGTGAAGGTTGTGCAGGTGATGGGAGGGTTTGCTTTGGATTTGAGGGTGGATTTTCACCTGTCCCAGCAGCTGAGTTGGTGCTGGTGCTTCAAGACTGTTTTCTCATCTTCCTTAAGGCAAAGATCATTTTTGTCCCGTTGCTGTTTCTTCACAGAATCCTCAGTTCACAGAAAGGAGTTGGTTTGGGGTAGGAAGATCCCAGTTAGCTGAGGAAATGTGGACAACACACCCAGAATCAGCTGTCCCAGGGATATCCCTGCAGAGGTCTGAGGGATGTACCTGTCCTCTCTGGGTCTGGGCTGAGGGTTCTTAGCCCCTTTTCTGAGTGCACATGTGATGATACTCAGGGTATCAGTGACTGTAGGAGCTCTCTGAGGCTGCAGATCACCTGCAGGAACCAAGACCAAGCCTAAGGAAGTGTTCCCACCTCCTTGGGCTGTGTGGCCTGTCCTGCTGTGTTGGTGTCCAAGCTCTGTTGGACCCTGAGAGCCTCTGTCCTGGGTCTGATGTTGGTCAGGCCATCACCTCCATCCCCACTGCTCTCTGCTTTGCTCTGCAGTGGGAAAATGTTGTGTTCTGGCCCAGGCAGCTGCCAGTTTACTCTCCTAGTGGTGGCCAAATCTGTAGGACATTGCAGTGTCCTCTGCAAGGAAAAGTGTTGTGTGGACAATGGGAAGCAGAGTTGGAGGTGAGCAACACATACAGCCCCACAGAGGACATGGAATATGGAAAGCAAAGATTCCTGGGGTCCCTTTCAGGGATTTATGCAATTTTTCTTCTCCCTACAGTATTGTCAGGATGTCTTTTCCAATCCCCAGCACTGAGGGAGTGACTTGGAGGGGGAATGTCCCTAGAACTGACCACCCAACACAAGCTCTGCTGAGGACACTGAGCCTGGGGGTGGGAGGGGACTCTGGGCCTCGTTGGAAGCACAAACTCTGGAAACTCCAAAGGGGAGGAAAGCCACAACAATGGGCCCTTTCTTCCCCTGGGAGAACAGCAGCTCTGAGCGGGGGCTGCTCTCCCTGTGCTGCTGTGTCAGTGCTCAGCCAGGGCAGGGGCTGTGCCCCCACAGCTCTGCAGTGTCTCCAGGGTGCCTTCTGCTTTTCCCTCTTAAGGGACAAGGAACCAAGGAAGGAATAATGTCTGTTGGTTGGTTTGTAGCATCACAGTGCCTTTTGCTACATGGTTTATCTGGAAACTTGTCCATGAAATAACACAGTGCAAGGAAACTGAGGCACAGAGCTGCTGCTCCCTGCCTGGTGCAGGGATGGGGTGATGAGAGCTGGAGCTCCTCAGACTGTGCTCAGTTCATTCCTCCTCTGTATGGGGTGACAGCCACTGCCCTGGGATCCACAGGCTCCAGGAGACTCTCACTTCTCTGGGTTTAGAGAACAGTGAGGTTTTACTGGGTCTTTCCTTTTTAAGCTGCCAGAGGTAGGGATAGATGGGATATTAGGAAGGAATTCCTCCCTGGGAGGTGCTGAGGCACTGGCACAGAGAAGCTGTGGCTGCTGCATCCCTGGGAGTGTTCCAGGCCAGGTTGGATGTGGCTTGGAGCATTCTGGGCTGGTGGAAGGTGTCCCTGCCCATGGGGGTGGGAGGAGATGATCCTTAAGGTCTCTTCCAACCCAGATCCCCCTGTGCCTCTGCAGACTGTTCCCCATCCTTGGTGTGGTAGGTGGTCTGGGAGTAGTGTCCGGGCTGAGGATACAGGGAATGTTGTTCCTTGGGGCAGCAAGTTGGTGCCACAGCTCTGGGAAGCCACACATGGTGCTGCAGGGAGTTGTGGGTTTGAATTGGAGCTTTGCTTGCTCATCAGTATCAGCTGCATTGAGTAAAAGCTGATGTGAAGCTGCCAGATCCTGGGGCTGAGGATGCTTCGTGCCAGCCATTCCTTTGTGCTCCCTTGGGGAACTGGCTGTGCCCAGGAGCCAGACACAGCACGGCTGGGGCTCTGCCAGGCCCTGGCACTGGGCTGGGGGATCCAGTGACAAGCCTCAGTTCCCACCCCATCCCTGCCAGGCTGCTGGAAGGACCCATGTCCTGCTGCCTTCAGCTGGTTGTAGATTTAAAGGCTCTGTCTGCTCTCCTCTAGGGCAGGAGGAGGCTGTAAAAAGGGAGAGAACATGTGTTTGCTTCTTGCTAGGAGTATTTTTTGACACTTAGCAGAGCCGTGGGCAGCGCCAGTTTCCATTGGGTTTCTCTTTGTAGCTCCAAGCCTCTTTCTCAGCACTTTCTCACCCACTGCTCTGCTCCTTTCCCCCCTCGGGCTGTGCAGGGAATGCTAGACAAACCCCGAGCTGTTAATTGTCCTGCTGGGAAACAGGTGGCAGAGGAGGGGA